ATTTTCAGGATATCTCATTGAAGCACAAAAGAATATACATAGCACAGGGTCTCTTGTAAAAGAAAAAATTGCAAAGTACAAAAAATACGCTTTTTGTGCAAAAAGAAACATAGGAAGGCAAGTCAGTAACTAATGAAATTGTTTACCTGCAGGGATGAGTGGAAACAAGTGGAAGGAAGAGTGAAGGGGATGGGACATCTCCTTATGACACAGTTTGACTTTAAACCAGTTATGTTTTACATATTCAAAAGATAAAGTGATATCGAAAACAAAAAACTCAGGGACACCTGGGTGGCTCAGTTGGTTAAGTGTCAGACTTTGGCTCAGGTTATGATCCCAAGGTCCTGGGATCAAGTCCTGCAATTGGGCTCCCCGCTCAGCGAGGAGTCTGCTTCTCCCTCTGCCTGCCGCTCCCCCTGCTGTGCTCTCCCTGTCTCTCTCTCTCTGACAAATAAATAAATAAAATCCTAAAAAAAACCAAACCCTCTAAAATGAAAAAAACAAATAAAGGAAATGAAACTCACTATATATCATATTGATAACATAACTACAGAGAGAGGAAAAAATTTAATCCTAGTGACTTTTTTTTTTAAAGATTTTATTTATTTATTTATTTGACAGAGAGATCACAAGTAGGCAGAGAGGCAGGCAGAGAGAGAGGGGGAAGCAAGCTCCCTGCTAAGCAGAGAGCCCGGATTCAGGGCTCGATCCCAGGACCCTGGGATCATGACCCAAGCCGAAGGCAGAGGCTTTAACCCACTAAACCACCCAGGCACCCTAATCCTAGCAACTTTTGAACACTTTATGTGTTTTTTGTGGAATATGGTCAGAAGACAAAAAGAACTGCAAAGAAATCTTTACTGTTTCTTGGTAAGCTTGTTGATGGTAGTGGTATCAGGGTAGCAATTTCAAAATGGTTATTTATTGTAGGACTAAGGAAATGGACAAATAAATTGACGATGTTGGGAATCAACGTTCTCATTAAGGGAAAACAGGTAGGAGAACGTATATAAATTCATAAATATGTATGTATGTATATATACATATATATATGTGTGTATATATATATATATATATATATATATATATATATATATATCTACTTATGTGAAAAAAACATATACAGTTGACCCTTGGACAACAAAAGTTTGAACTACACAGGTCCACTTATGTGCAGATTTTTTTCAAAAATACAGGGTGGTGTACTATAAATGAATTTTCTGTACGGTTTTCTTTTCTTTTTTTTAAGGTTTTATTTATTTATTTGACAGAGAGGGAACACAGCAGGGGGAGTGGGAGAGGGAGAAGCAGGCTTCCCGCAGAGCAGGGAGCCAATGCGGGGCTTGATCCCAGGACCCCGGGATCATGACCTGAGCAGAAGACAGACGCTTGACAAATGAACCACCCAGGCGCCCCTCTGAATTATTTTCTTAACGTTTTCTTTTCTCTAGCTTATTTTATTGTAAGGATACAGCATATAATACATATAACTTAAAAAAAATGTGTTAATTGAGTGTTTATGTTATTGGGAAGGCTTCTGGTCTAGAGTACGCTATAAGTCTGGGGGAGTCAAACGTTATACAGGGATTTTCAACCGTGTGGGTTGCCAATGCTTCTAACCCCATGTTGTTCAAGATCAACTGTATTTCCTTGTTCGTTCATTCTTTCCTTCTTTTCTGAGACAGAGGAGAGAGAGCGCACGCGCACACATGCAAGCAGGGAGAGGGACAGAGGGAGAGAGAGGATCTCAAGCGGACTCTACGCTGAGCTTGGAACCAGATGTGGGGCTCAATCTCATGACCCTGAGGTCATAACCTGAACCAAAATCAGGAGTCCAACATTTAACCGACTGTGCCACCCAGGTGTCCCTGTATTTCCTTGTTCTTTCTACCAAAGAATTTTGCTTAGAGGCAAAGTCAGCAGTAGCAGTGAGCGTACCTAGCACCTAGGTTTCTAAATACGGCAGCCCCCACTTACCCCAGGGGATAAGTTCCAGACCCCCTGTAGATGTCTGCTACTGCAAATAGTACGG